TGAGCGTACAGCTGGTATAACAGTGTAAAAGTAGGGAGGGTACAGCTTATAAACGGTGCAAATAGTGAGCCAGCTTGTATAACGTGCAAAGTATGAGCGTGCAAAGTAGTGAGCATGCAGCTTGTATAACAGTGTAAGTAGTGAGCATACAGCTTATTAACAGTGTAAAGTACTGATCGTACAGCTAGTATAACAGCGAAAAATAGGGAGGGTACAGCTTATGAACGGTTAAAGTAGTGAGCATACAGCTTGTATAACAGTGTAAAGCAGTGAGCGTAAACTGGTATAACAGTGTAAAGTAGTGACGTGCAGCTTGTATAACAGTGTAAAGTAGTGAGCGTGCAGCTTGTATAACAGTGTAAAGTAGTGAGCGTGCAGCTTTGTCAACAGTGTAAAGTAGTGAGCGTGCAGCTTTTGTATAACAGTGTAAAGTAGTTAGCGTACGCTTGTATAACCGTGTAAGTAGTGAGCATGCAGCTTTTGTATAACAGTGTAAAGTAGTGAGCGTACAGCTCTTATAACAGTGTAAATAGTGAGCGTGCAGCTTGTATAACAGTGTAAAGTAGGGAGGGTACAGCTTATGTAACAGTGTAAAGTAGTGAGCGTGCAGCTCGTATAACAGTGTAAAGTAGTTAGCGTGCAGCTTGTATAACAGTGTAAAGTAGGGAGGGTTACAGCTTATGTAACGGGTAAAGTAGTGAGCATACAGCTGGTATAACAGTTTAAGTAGTGAGCGTACAGCTTGTATAACAGTGTAAAGTAGTGAGCGTACAGCTTGTATAACAGTGTTAAGTAGTGAGTGTGCAGCTTGTATAACGGTGTAAAGTAGTGAGTGTGCAGCTTGTATAACGGTGTAAAGTAGTGAGCGTGCAGCTTGTATAACAGTGTAAAGTAGTTAGCGTGCACCTTGTATACAGTGTAAGTACTGATCGTACAGCTGGTATAACAGTGTAAAGCAGTGAGCGTAAAACTGGTATAACAGTGTAAGTAGTGAGCGTACAGCTTGTATAACAGTGTAAAGTAGTGAGTGTACAGCTTGTATAACGGTGTAAGTAGTGAGCGTGCAGCTTGTTAACGGTGTAAAGTAGTGAGCGTGCAGCTTGTATAACAGTGTAAAGTAGTGAGCGTGCAGCTTGTATAACGGTAAAGTAGTGAGCGTGCAGCTTGTATACGGTGTAAAGTAGTGAGCGTACAGCTTGTATAACGGTGTAAAGTAGTGAGCGTACAGCTTGTATAACGGTGTAAAGTAGTGAGCGTACAGCTGTATAACAGTGTAAAGTAGTGAGCGTACAGCTTGTATAACGGTGTAATAGTAGCGTACAGCCTGTATAACAGTGTAAAGTAGTGAGCGTACAGCTTGTATAACGGTGTAAAGTAGTCAGCTTACAGCTTGTATAACAGTGTAAAGTAGTGAGCATACAGCTGTATAACGTGTAAAGTAGTGAGCATACAGCTTGTATAACAGTGTAAAGTAGTGAGCATACCTTGTATAACATGTAAAGTAGTGAGCATACAGCTTGTATAACAGTGTAAGTAGTGAGCATACAGCTTGTATAACGGTGTAAAGTAGTGAGCATACAGCTTGTATAACAGTGTAAAGTATTGAGCTACAGCTTGTATAACAGTGTAAAGTATTGAGCATACAGCTTGTATAACAGTGTAAAGTAGTGAGCGTACAGCTTGTTGAATTTTCCTGTCCCCTAAAAAATAACATACCACACAGCCTTTAATGTCTAAACTGCTGTGCATGCAATGCATTTACAGAAACAGGTGGGCGGATATATCTTCTGTGTTCATGTGTACCATATTTGGTGTGATATGAATAACAGACCACTTACAGGTGACTGATCATGGCTCATCTGCATGGACATTAGAGATCAACCAATCAGCAAACATGGATCAAGAGATATTCTGTCACATCCTGTCTGCGTCTGTATATAGTTGCAGCTCTTGTATTTGAAAAAGCAGAACTCCGGTCGACGCTGTTTTGCTCTGTTCTTTTCTTTTTTGCTGATTGTACTTTAATAAAAGACACTTTGAGTAAAGATTATTTACTAAAGATTATTTTTCCTCTCCTCCTCCTGCTGCAAGGTAAGGTTCTTCCACACTGCCACACACTGAGCCGAGGGCCACACTGGTCTTATTCTCTAGATCTGGAGTTTAGGAACTCGTTCCAGGTTGTGTTTGAATACTCGAGGCTACGTGGCGCCCGACAGCGTGGCTGGAGAAAAAACAGTAGTTGGTTCTCCTGTCTGTACACAGGCAGGGTGCTAAATGAACTGTTTTGTCCACCAGCCAGTAAACGCTCAAAGTCTACCACTCAGTAGATTACCATTGTTTTTAGCTGCTGATGAAGTAAATCTAGCAGACATTTGCATATTTTACCAGTAACTGGCTGGTAGATGGTGCCATGTTTTTTTATTGAGTTAAACTACAAGAAGCTAAAGTGTCTCTGAGATATTAGAGGTGTCTTCAAACTGAGTAACAAAGCAGCAAAAGCAGGCTGCTGCCCTGTGCAGGGGGGACTGAGCCTTGTCCTGGAGTAAAGCTTAAGAAAAGAAGAGGATGCTGCCTTCACTCCCCGGGGTGAGCGCTTCACTATAAAGGTTCTTTGTTTTAAAGAGAGGGTGTTGTGTATAATTCAGTTTCCTAATGTTTAACTATACTGCAAAGATGAGCATCATAAAGTTAGCATATAAAAAGTATTTGATAGAATTGGACAGGAAATGTGTTTAACTGTGTTTCACTTCATCATCTAAAGATTATTCTTCATTTTATTTCTTCATCTCATAAGATAATATTACTTGAAGTAAAATTACTGAACACATTGCTAAAGTCACCTTATAAACGTATGTTGCTGTGTAGCTGCTGAAACTCATTGCTTCATCACCATGATAATAATGTTGTGGACTCATGATGTTTGTAAGTAAGGGATGTATTTTTACTTTAACTCTTCCTCTTCACTCTGACAGGAAGTCAGAGTGAAGAGTAAGGAAGGAAGTCGGTTTATATCAAAGTTTATTCCTTGAGTGTATTTGCTTATATGCTTGTTAAATCAAAGTGTTGCTTTAGTGTATTGATGATCAGGATTTTGAAATGTTCTGGAAATGTTTGGAAATTTGAAAATGTTTTGAAATGCTTTATGTACTGTTATTACAAAATATTTAGAATGATGAAAGACGATCTTTGGTTTTAACACTTTAAGACTAACCACACTAACCACAGGAGCCTTCCACTGAAGACTAACAGGAAGTCCGCCTCGTGTTTGTTGGTTACGATGAAATCAGCTCTATTAAATATGTGAAATGTATTAACAGGTGATAAATAATAATAATAATAATAATTGATTGAGGATGTTAACCCTACCACCAAGAGTTTTTAATCACATAGGCTATATGTGCTTTACCTGACAAAGAGTATCAGGCAGGGTACGTAAGGGTAAGTATTAAAAGTCTTAAATTTCATATTCCAAAATAAGGCCTTAAAAGTCTTAATTTTCATTACCAAAGTATTAAATTTCGTTTACTAAGGTCTTAAAGTTTTTCTTGTCCTTGTGTAGGATTTAATTAATGCTGTGACGTCATAAATGAATACTTTGTGTGTGTGAGACTTCATTATTTACTCCGTTTGGTGTGACTGATGTTATACGGCAGTGCAGGTAACATTACTGTTTATGTCAGTGTTCAGCTTTACGCTCTGAACTGTGTTCACGGTGCACGAGCTCTGGCATCCAGCTCAGCGCGAATCAGTCAGTAGTTAGAAAAGAAAAGAAAACGTCTCTGACGGGCTACTAACGTTAGCTCGACGACTCAGAATGGGCAAGTGTCTGATATTCAGAAAGCCAGAGATACGAACAAGTTGGCGGACGAAGCTGAGGGCAGCACAACAAGCTGAATCACACTGTGGCAGCGCTAATGGAACAGCAGAGCTGGAAGAGCCGCTGCAGGTTACTGGTCAGTGAATGTTACCACAGCAAACAGAGAGACAGGTGCGTTTGAGACGAGGACGGGTCTGTGTGTCGCAGGAAGGCTAACGTTACGTGCATGGAAACATCAAACTAACGCACATTAAACTTGCATCACAGGAACGAGGGAAAAACAAACCGGAGCCCGGCTCCTTTTCCCCGCTGCTTTCAAGCCAAAACTATATAATACTGTATTTCAAGCAGCCTTTAGATGCTTTAAAACAAGAACAGGATGAATAATCACTGAAGCTGTTGGCAGATTATATTACTTTACATTATCTAGCCAAGGTGTAACTACTCATACCACACAATTTGTTTTTATTTTTGATTTCATCCCTTAAGAGTTCTTAGTGCACAAATATTGGATTCATTTCATAGGTGTTATTTACACTGTGGACACTGGGGACATGTCCCCATCACTTTTTTGAAAAGCATTTGTTAAATATGTTCTGAAAAATAGCTTGCAACAAGAAATGTTAAAAAAACTAATGAAAATACTTTGAGAAAGGTTTATTTGCACAATAAGAAAATATGCAATGCAATTTAAAGATGAAAGAAACAAATGTGCATTGTTCAGAAAAGTTTAAGCTAAAAAAATCGGAAAGACTTTATTTAAATAAAGACAATTCTACCATAAATTGGTGCAGAAAATGTCTCTAGAATGCAGGAGATTAAGTGTTTGGTGCTCAAAATTTTCTAGGGGACCCCCATTTAAATATATTTCAGCATTGAATATTTCATCAAATAGTGTTAAAATATCTTTTTGTCTTGTTCTTGTGAACCCAATATTGTGAATTGTGTATGTGAGCTAAGTGTGTTGTCACACCCCTAATCTGAACCCTTATGTCCCACCACTTTTCAACACAAAGTGACATCCTTGATTCATTTTATCTTATCAAAGTACAAACACAACCCAAAAGATATAGTGTGTTAAATATGAATGTATTATAATAAAATGTTTTACTAAATTCATGTATCTTCGTAATAATTTTATCGGGCTTAAAATTCATACAGATTTTCCATTAAACGTCAGTAAAGTTGTATTAAATTTAATCCTAAGTGTTATTTAAAAGGTCTTAAAAAGTCTTAAATTTAACTTTGTGGATCCTGGGGGATCTGTAGAGGAAGACATTTGGTTGTCTTGCTAGTTGTTAGCCGGCAGGTCCGTTCAGTCTTTTGCTGTGTCGTGTTTGGATCGTCCAGGTGAGAGGGTCTGGCCCTTCGTCTGTTCTCCTCAGAGTTAGCAGCTTGGCTAACTCAGCTGGTGGCAGGGATCTATAGCAGGACTTTATGTTCTGCTCCAAGCGGGCCACGCTGGGAGGCCGCTGCGCCGTCAGGTTGGCGGCTTCAGCCGTCACATCCAGAAGAGAAGTGAAGATACCAACGCTGCGTTGGAGTTTTTATTAATGAGGTGACATCATAGGTCACAGGTCAACAGCCAATCGTAGCTGAGAGCTGAGTTCAGGAATCTGAGTTCATCGACGAAAAGATAAAAGTTCTGTTATGATCGCAAATGAACAGCTTCATCTGTGAGGTCCCTGTGATCCCAACAATATGCAACAAGTGTTTGTTCCAGAACAAACACCAACAAGGAAGAGTGCACAGTCTGTCTCCTGTCAAGTGGATTAATCATCATGTAAACCTCCTGATCCAAACTCAGAGGGCAGAGGGGCATCGAGTACAGGAGACAGGCAGGATGTCCTAAACCAATGAGCATTAACATTAAACATTAAATTACTGAAACAGCTGGACGATGTTCTGTGGCTGCAGTAACGACCTCACATCAGCACGTACAGATATTCGTTCTTCTTTTTGTATTTGATTAAATAAAAGTTAAACGTAACAAATGTTGAGGAATGATGAACGAAACTGAAAGACAGCAGTTTGTGATTTGATATGATTGTGGTTAAACTATAGGGACACTGTGTTTGTGTGAACAGCTTTAGTGATGTCACTGAATAATGTTGGGTAGATATTAAAAACCTGCTCCCTTTAATAACCAGATCTCTCAAACAACAGGTTTTACTCCGAAGAATGGAAGGTCTCTACATTAACAGCAGCTCACAGGACCAAAGCTACGATTACAGCAACACCACCTCCAACTACCAGAATAACAACAAGCTTGATGAGTATCGTGATAAACTTTATTTCATCAGAGATGTGGTGGTATACATAATCATTGCTGTCGGCCTTCCTCTGACCCTGGTGGCCATCTATGCTCTTTATTCTATGGTATGTACATTCTGACTGAGAGTTATTTATTTCCTGTCTGTGTGGTGTATCTGTCCTACAGTCTGTCTGTCTGTAAAGGATCTGGATCTGGTTTGGGGGCTAGGTGTCAGGGGGCTGGGACAAAGGCTTGGAATGATCTATAACCTGACAGGAATAATTGACTCCAGAATTCAAATGTCCATGAAGCTGATTGGACCCTAAACACATGCAGTTTCCATGTGTGGCTCCATTCCAGTTAAACTGCAGAAGCTGCAGGAAATCTGGCCCTTAGTCTTGTTCCTGCACTGATTGGCCAGTGGGTCATATCTGAGATTTCTGTTGGATGAAAAAGTCAGAAATGGCTCTGACTACAGCTGCTGGGCAGAGCAAGATGACAGATTTGGGAGGAGGTGGACTTCACAACATGTTTCCAACTGCTTGTTGACTTTTACCAATGTTTTCCTGCAGGTGAGAAGAGATCATGTTGCTCCCATCTACCTCATCAACCTTCTCATTACTGACATCCTTCAGTTCTGCTGCATGATCATTCGGGTGGCACTAAATGTGGATTGGATGAGATATTTCATCCATCGTATTTACCTCTCTGCTCTGATTGCCAGTGTTTACTTCATGGTCTGCATCTCCCTGGAAAGGTATCTATCTGTCTATCCAGTATGTGTGGAGCTCCTTCTGTGTCTGAACATTATATTAGTTTATAACTCTGAAGCTCCTCAAAGACTTTGTGTCCATCTTGTATTACAGGTATTTGGTCATCGCCCACCCACTGTGGTACCGCTTCAGACGAACCATCAAGACCTCTGTGGTGCTCTGTGTCCTGGTCTGGGTCCTTTCTGCTGTCTGTGCCGTCTGTTTCTATTTCACTGATGTCACATACATACTCTTTGCCATCCTCTTCCTCCCTCCCTTCCCTCTGTTAATATTCTCCCTGGTTGGGACCCTCAAAGCCCTGTCTGCTACCATCTCGGTCCCCTCTGATGAAAAACGACGAATTGTGGGAATTTTGGTTCTGGTGCTGCTTATTTACACTCTGCTGTTCCTGCCCAGCATCATTTTGTTGCTGGAAATAAACAATGACAAGACCTGGTTTCTAGAAAACTATAAATTGAGACTTAACCTCCTGTCTACCATCTTCCTCAGTCTGAGTCCTCTTGCAGACTTGTTCCTGTATGTCTTCATGAGGAAAGGGTTCATAGACAAGCTTTTGGCCTCTGTGTGTTGCTGCAGAATGGACAGCAATGATATCAGCTGTCCATCAGTATGAATGATGACAACATTTCCACAGTCAGCTTCATGTAGGCAGAGAAAGAGGGAGAGAGAGAAAGGGGAGGAAACAGGAGGAGAAATGGAGGCCAATAGAAAGGATAGAGACGAGACAGATCCTGTCATCTACTGAGACCATTTCCAATAAGACACCTAACTGTAGAGAGCAGGAAGCACTGTTTGGACTCTGCTGTGGGAGAAGTGGCTGCTGGGAAATGTTTTGGTCAACTTGCTCTGGTTCGCTGTGATGGCTTCAACACATGGAAATAAAATGTGTTTTATTAGTTTGGAGCTGGAAGTTGATGTCTGTCATTTTTCTCCTTTAATCCCAGAAGCAAAGCAGATATTATTTTAGATGAACTGAGCTCATTCTAGCCGCCTCGCTGTCTTCTTCCTAAATCTTTATTTGGACTGTTGTTTGGATGTTTAACACAGGGAGAGCATCTCAACACGTCTTTAGCACTTTGTACTTTTTAAGTGTAATTTCTGCTGTTTTAGTGGTAGGCATGCTGCTGTTTAGGATGGGATTCAGAGCAGCTGTTTTGCAGCAGCTGTTGTGTGCTTGGCAATCTGGATAAAATCTTAAACCACAGTTTATGTCAGTTTCTATGAAATTGTACATTTTCTGGAAATCCAATAAAAATCAGTTTGTAGACCAAACTGTGAATGTTTGTCTTTGAGCAACTCAGTGAATTAAAAGCTGACAAATGAAGGTTCAACAAAATCTCTGCTGGTTGACAAATCTCTATTGTCTATATGAACATAAAGGCCAACCTGCTGTTAGCAGGGAGGCATCCTGCACTTTCTGACCAAATGAGGTTTCCTCACAGCTCTTAAAGCTTTCAGACTTTTTTAGATAAGAAATGATAAAGTGTGACAGGGACAGTCACAACAGATCAGACCAACATGTTTCAGTAGAAGTTAGTAAAGTCTACAGGAAGGACACGGACTGGAGAGGTTCAGCTCAACAGCTGCCTACATGCAGACTCTGTGGTCCACATCCAGGACCCTCTGCACAGATGTGCTGTTTCCTTTCTTCACAAAGAAAGAAAAGAAGATCAGGCGTGAGTTCAATCTCAAAACGTTGCGCTATGTTCCGCGACGGGCTTCAGGTATGTTTCCTCCTTGGCGGGCGTGTCACAGGTGTTACCCAATCAGCTTGCGTGCACAGCAGGGTGTTCAGGGAACCAGCGTTTCTGTTAAAAACGTTTTGTTACGTTTTGTGTCGCTGCTGAACTGGAAACCCGCTGTGCGACGTTGGACGGAAACATGCGGTTCAATCCAAAACCAAACGTTTTGAGACTGAACTCGCTCCTCCTCCTATGCTCTGGCTTTTAAACTTTTTCAGAACCAGCTTTATTCGCCCAGCTATACACACACGAGGAATCTGACTCTGGATTGTACATTGCTCACGATGAGCTGATTCAGACAATGACACAATAATAAAAGCACACACAGGCTACAGTATAGAGAACACAGATAGGCTATACACACTATGAGCAAACACACTGTAGACAGACTGAGAGAATCATGCAGAGGATGCAGGAGTAAATTATTTTTACCATTATTATGTACATGTTGGAGGTGGATGAGATATACAGAGACACCGTGTGATGGAGAACAGCGTTTTTATTGACAAGATAACATCCGAAACATAAATCAGTACAATATAATAATTGTCTGTGTAAATGAAAGAAAGAGTCCAACAGTGCCGAACAGTAAAAACAGACAGACAAAAGGCGGAACTAGAGAAGAAGAAAACTAGTGAACCTCAAATGAACCATCGATCAATTCATAACGACTTTTACACTGAAAAGTCTGGAATATGAGCGTTAGGAGCGTCTTATTGTGAAACGTTGACCGGAAGTATCTCCGTGTATTGTCGGTATCTTCCGGCGGCGGTCGGGTCGGTTCGGTACCAGCTCTCTCCGTTGCTCTCGGTTTAACGGCGGACAATCCGGAGCTGCAGGAACACGTTCATGGAAGAAACGTGAGGTTTTACCGGAGACGGACCGGAGGAGGAGGAGGAGAACTTTTCCCGCGGTAAGACAAACCACGTTCACGCGAACCCTCACCATCAGTTACCGGTCCGTCCGTTACCGGACACACTAACGTTAACGGCTCCGGGAGCTGCAGGACGCTCACCGAGCCGCTAACTCACTTTCACCGACTTTACCGAGGTTCGTGTGCTGGTGAGCTCGCGAGCCTTTTGTTCGGCTCCGTTCCCATGGTGAAGCGTCATCAGCTCCCGAGACTCGCCGGAAAAACCCGAAGTCTTTTTACTGCGACGTTACTCCGAAAAACACCTTTTAAAGTACTTTAACTTATCTCCAGATTTAGTATCTGGTACTTCAGTAAAAGTAGTAATACCACACTTAGAAGTAAAAGTACTTCACTCCAAGTACAAAAGTATTGCTACAGTCTATATATCCCAACAGCCTCAGTATTAATACACCAGAGTATTTATAACCCCAGTGAAGCCAGCAGCTTCAGTAAAAGTAGTAATACCACACTTAGAAGTAAAAGTACACGTCTCTCAGTATCAGTATTTGAAGTACCCGCAGTAAAAGTACTCATGGTGGTTTTGATCACTTTACCTGTCTCCCCAGGTGTGTTGCCGTGGCAGCGTGATGCGTTGGGATGGAGGAGGCGGAGCACAGCCGCTACGTCGCCCAGCTGAAGGCCGAGTTCGACAGCTGCGACACGACGGCCACGGGCTTCCTGGACCGAGACGAGCTGACGGCGCTCTGCGGGAAACTGCAGCTGGACGCTCACCTGCCGCTGCTGCTGGACACGCTGCTGGGAGGACGCGCCTACGCCAGGGTAACACGCACGCACACACTGCGACACACACACGCTCTGTGCCGCGGCGAGGTCACCTGACAGCCGTGTTTGACCCCCAGGTGAACTTTGAGGAGTTTAAAGACGGCTTCGTGGACGTCCTGTCCCGCTCGCTGGACTTCAGCACGTCAGGGGACGACAGCAGCTACCTGGAGCCAGGTGAGTGTCAGAGCGATCTGGATCCTGGTCTCAGATTAGAGTCCTGCAGTCTGTGGCTCCAGCAGGGGTCAGAGTGATCTGGATCCTGGTCTCAGTCCGGTTTCAGATTAGAGTCCTGCAGTCTGTGGCTCCAGCAGGGGTCAGAGTGATCTGGATCCTGGTCTCAGTCTGGTTTCAGATTAGAGTCCTGCAGTCTGTGGCTCCAGCAGGGGTCAGAGTGATCTGGATCCTGGTCTCAGTCTGGTTTCAGATTAGAGTCCTGCAGTCTGTGGCTCCAGCAGGGGTCAGAGTGATCTGGATCCTGGTCTCAGTCTGTCTCTGTCCCTGCAGTTGTTCCAGAGGAGGTGAAGCCGAAGTTCGTGAAGGGGACGAAGCGTTACGGACGGCGCTCCCGACCCGACAGCCGGCCCGATGCTGCTGACTCAGAGGACTCGCCGCCCTCCAGAACCGAGGCCACGGACTCGTCCCCTGCCGGCGTCCGCAGGGCCAAGCTGATGCGGTCCACGTCTCTGGAGAGCGTTGAGGTGAGACGGCGTCTTCGTGCCCTCCTCCCCCGTGGACCAGGTCTGAGGTGTTCAGGTTCAGGTGGAATCTTTGGAACTCTTCATTCCTGCAGCCTGGTGAATCTTTCTGCCGCCGCTCGTAGTGGGAATGTTTTTATTTCTGTAAAGAGGAGCAGAGTCTCACTCTGACCCCAGATCAGCTTCTTTAACATCTGCTGAGTCTGAGTCCTCCGACCGGTCCAGGTCCCCCCCCCCCCCGTTCTGTTGACCTGAAGGTGTCTGTGGGAAACAGCAAAGTGTAACTGTGGGGCGTGGTGGGGCGGGTCTTAGTCCTGATCGCTGTAGTCTCTCGGCTGCGCTGCGTGGACGCGTCGAGCAGCGCGGAGCGAACCAGGCAGGAAGTCAGACACAGAACGGCAGAGAGAATCCCGTCGTTTTTCAAAATAAAATACCTTAGACAATAAACAGGGTTAAACAGACAAGAAGAAACAGTTTAACTACGCAGCTTCTTACCCACGGTCGAAGCACAAACACCAGGACAACTTACCAAATCAACCAGTACGGGGTCAGGTTCCCCCTTTGACCCAGCTAAACGTACCTCGGGGCCATCGTCTTGCTGGGTGGTCTTTGGGATTAGGTGTCTGGCGTTCACTGTGGAGTCCTGCTGAGGTTCAACCAGCAGCCCTCTGCTCAGTCTGATGGGGGAAGGATCCGGTCTGTGGTGAGTCAGGTCCTGGTCCAGTCAGGCTGCGTCCTGCTCACATTTCACTCGCTACTTAAGGCCAAAAAAACTTGAAACAAGTGAAATTCTCTAACATAAAAGCCGCTTGGTAAGAATAATTATCTTGTCAGACAAAAAACAATTAAGTTAAGATAATTAATCTTACTAAGATTTGAGTTTTTGCAGTGCAGCTGAGGGTTTCCCCCTTTGCCTGGTTAGAGGGCTGCATGTGATGTGGACCAGGTCTCCTGCTGGTGGACTTTTAGCAGCAGTTTTGAGTCTGAGCTTTTCTTTGTTCTTTGGGCTTCCTGTATTTGAATATACACATATTCAGTACTGTAATACTTGCAGTACTCACAGTATATACAGTATGTACTGCACTAAGCTGTGATTCTCTACTTTGTATACTTACGTTTCCTCTTCAAACAGTGTCACAGGACTACGTGTCTCTGCGCACTGCGCTGTCTCTGTGCTGTCTCTGTGACTGCGTGTCTCTGTGACTGTGTGTCTCTGTGACTGTGTGTCTCTGTGACTGCGTGTCTCTGTGTGTCTCTGTGACTGTGTGTCTCTGTGACTGCATGTCTCTGTGTGTCTCTGTGACTGCGTGTCTCTGTGTGTCTCTGTGACTGCGTGTCTCTCTGACTGCGTGTCTCTGTGACTGTGTGTCTCTGTGTGTCTCTGTGACTGCGTGTCTCTGTGTGTCTCTGTGACTGTGTGTCTCTGTGACTGCATGTCTCTGTGTGTCTCTCTGACTGCGTGTCTCTGTGTGTCTCTGTGACTGCGTGTCTCTGTGACTGCGTGTCTCTGTGTGTCTCTGTGACTGCATGTCTCTGTGTGTCTCTGTGACTGCATGTCTCTGTGTGTCTCTGTGACTGCGTGTCTCTGTGTGTCTCTGTGACTGCATGTCTCTGTGTGTCTCTGTGACTGCGTGTCTCTGTGTGTCTCTGTGACTGCATGTCTCTGTGTGTCTCTGTGACTGCGTGTCTCTGTGTGTCTCTGTGACTGCATGTCTCTGTGTGTCTCTGTGACTGCGTGTCTCTGTGACTGCGTGTCTCTGTGACTGTGTGTCTCTGTGACTGCATGTCTCTGTGTGTCTCTGTGACTGCGTGTCTCTGTGTGTCTCTGTGACTGCATGTCTCTGTGTGTCTCTGTGACTGCGTGTCTCTGTGTGTCTCTGTGACTGCATGTCTCTGTGTGTCTCTGTGACTGCGTGTCTCTGTGACTGCGTGTCTCTGTGACTGTGTGTCTCTGTGACTGCGTGTCTCTGTGTGTCTCTGTGACTGTGTGTCTCTGTGACTGCATGTCTCTGTGTGTCTCTCTGACTGCGTGTCTCTGTGTGTCTCTGTGACTGCGTGTCTCTGTGACTGCGTGTCTCTGTGACTGCGTGTCTCTGTGACTGCATGTCTCTGTGTGTCTCTGTGACTGCATGTCTCTGTGTGTCTCTGTGACTGCGTGTCTCTGTGACTGTGTGTCTCTGTGACTGCATGTCTCTGTGTGTCTCTGTGACTGCGTGTCTCTGTGCTGTCTCTGTGACTGCGTGTCTCTGTGACTGCGTGTCTCTGTGACTGCATGTCTCTGTGTGTCTCTGTGACTGCGTGTCTCTGTGCTGTCTCTGTGACTGCGTGTCTCTGTGTGTCTCTGTGACTGCGTGTCTCTGTGACTGCATGTCTCTGTGTGTCTCTGTGACGGCGTGTCTCTGTGCTGTCTCTGTGACTGCGTGTCTCTGTGTGTCTCTGTGACTGCGTGTCTCTGTGACTGCGTGTCTCTGTGACTGCATGTCTCTGTGTGTCTCTGTGACTGCGTGTCTCTGTGACTGTGTGTCTCTGTGACTGCATGTCTCTGTGTGTCTCTGTGACTGCGTGTCTCTGTGTGTCTCTGTGACTGCGTGTCTCTGTGACTGCGTGTCTCTGTGCTGTCTCTGACTGCGTGTCTCTCTGACTGTGTGTCTCTGTGACTGCATGTCTCTGTGTGTCTCTGTGACTGCGTGTCTCTGTGCTGTCTCTGTGACTGCGTGTCTCTGTGACTGCGTGTCTCTGTGTGTCTCTGTGACTGCGTGTCTCTGTGACTGCGTGTCTCTGTGACTGCATGTCTCTGTGTGTCTCTGTGACTGCATGTCTCTGTGACTGCATGTCTCTGTGACTGCGTGTCTCTGTGCTGTCTCTGTGACTGCGTGTCTCTGTGTGTCTCTGTGACTGCGTGTCTCTGTGACTGCGTGTCTCTGTGACTGCATGTCTCTGTGTGTCTCTGTGACTGCGTGTCTCTGTGACTGTGTGTCTCTGTGACTGCATGTCTCTGTGTGTCTCTGTGACTGCGTGTCTCTGTGACTGTGTGTCTCTGTGACTGCATGTCTCTGTGTGTCTCTGTGACTGCGTGTCTCTGTGCTGTCTCTGTGACTGCGTGTCTCTGTGTGTCTCTGTGACTGCGTGTCTCTGTGCTGTCTCTGTGACTGCGTGTCTCTGTGCTGTCTCTGTGACTGCGTGTCTCTGTGTGTCTCTGTGACTGCGTGTCTCTGTGACTGCGTGTCTCTGTGACTGTGTGTCTCTGCGTGCTGTGTGTCTCTGTGACTGTGTGTCTCTGCGTGCTGTGTGTCTCTGTGACTGTGTGTCTCTGTGACTGTGTGTCTCTGTGTGCTGCATGTCTCTGTGACTGCGTGTCTCTGTGACTGCGTGTCTCTCTGACTGTGTGTCTCTGCGTGCTGCGTGTCTCTGTGACTGTGTGTCTCTGTGACTGCATGTCTCTGTGTGCTGCATGTCTCTGTGACTGCGTGTCTCTGTGACTGCGTGTCTCTCTGACTGTGTGTCTCTGTGACTGCGTGTCTCTGTGTGCTGCATGTCTCTGTGACTGTGTGTCTCTGTGACTGCGTGTCTCTGTGTGCTGCATGTCTCTGTGACTGCGTGTCTCTGTGACTGCGTGTCTCTCTGACTGTGTGTCTCTGCGTGCTGCATGTCTCTGTGACTGCGTGTCTCTGTGACTGCGTGTCTCTGTGACTGCGTGTCTCTGCGTGCTGCGTGTCTCTGTGACTGCGTGTCTCTGTGACTGCGTGTCTCTGCGTGCTGCATGTCTCTGTGACTGCGTGTCTCTGTGACTGCGTGTCTCTCTGACTGTGTGTCTCTGTGACTGCGTGTCTCTGTGACTGCGTGTCTCTGTGCTGTCTCTGTGACTGCGTGTCTCTGTGTGTCTCTGTGACTGCGTGTCTCTGTGACTGCATGTCTCTGTGTGTCTCTGTGACTGCGTGTCTCTGTGACTGCGTGTCTCTGTGTGTCTCTGTGACTGCGTGTCTCTGTGTGTCTCTGTGACTGCGTGTCTCTGTGACTGTGTGTCTCTGTGACTGCGTGTCTCTGTGTGTCTCTGTGACTGTGTGTCTCTGTGACTGCATGTCTCTGTGTGTCTCTGTGACTGTGTGTCTCTGTGACTGCATGTCTCTGTGTGTCTCTGTGACTGTGTGTCTCTGTGACTGCATGTCTCTGTGTGTCTCTGTGACTGCGTGTCTCTGTGCTGTCTCTGTGACTGCGTGTCTCTGTGTGTCTCTGTGACTGCGTGTCTCTGTGACTGCATGTCTCTGTGACTGCGTGTCTCTGTGACTGCGTGCTGCGTGTCTCTGTGTGTCTCTGTGACTGCGTGCTGCGTGTCTCTGTGACTGTGTGTCTCTGTGACTGCGTGTCTCTGCGTGCTGCGTGTCTCTGTGACTGTGTGTCTCTGCGTGCTGCGTGTCTCTGTGACTGTGTGTCTCTGTGACTGTGTGTCTCTGTGACTGTGTGTCTCTGCGTGCTGCGTGTCTCTGTGACTGCGTGTCTCTGCGTGCTGCGTGTCTCTGTGACTGCGTGTCTCTGCGTGCTGCGTGTCTCTGTGACTGTGTGTCTCTGTGACTGCGTGTCTCTGCGTGCTGTGTGTCTCTGTGACTGTGTGTCTCTGTGACTGCGTGTCTCTGTGACTGTGTGTCTCTGTGACTGTGTGTCTCTGTGACTGCGTGTCTCTGCGTGCTGCGTGTCTCTGTGACTGTGTGTCTCTGTGACTGTGTGTCTCTGTGACTGCGTGTCTCTGCGTGCTGTGTGTCTCTGTGACTGTGTGTCTCTGTGACTGCGTGTCTCTGTGACTGTGTGTCTCTGCGTGCTGCGTGTCTCTGCGTGCTGTGTGTCTCTGTGACTGCGTGTCTCTGCGTGCTGTGTGTCTCTGTGACTGTGTGTCTCTGTGACTGCGTGTCTCTGCGTGCTGTGTGTCTCTGTGACTGTGTGTCTCTGTGACTGCGTGTCTCTGTGACTGTGTGTCTCTGCGTGCTGCGTGTCTCTGCGTGCTGTGTGTCTCTGTGACTGCGTGTCTCTGCGTGCTGTGTGTCTCTGTGACTGCGTGTCTCTGTGACTGCGTGTCTCTGCGTGCTGTGTGTCTCTGTGACTGTGTGTCTCTGTGACTGTGTGTCTCTGCGTGCTGCGTGTCTCTGCGTGCTGTGTGTCTCTGTGACTGCGTGTCTCTGCGTGCTGTGTGTCTCTGTGACTGTGTGTCTCTGTGACTGCGTGTCTCTGCGTGCTGCGTGTCTCTGTGACTGCGTGTCTCTGTGACTGCGTGTCTCTGCGTGCTGTGTGTCTCTGTGACTGCGTGTCTCTGCGTGCTGCGTGTCTCTGTGACTGCGTGTCTCTGTGACTGCGTGTCTCTGCGTGCTGCGTGTCTCTGTGACTGCGTGTCTCTGTGACTGCGTGTCTCTGCGTGCTGCGTGTCTCTGTGACTGCGTGTCTCTGCGTGCTGCGTGTCTCTGTGACTGTGTGTCTCTGTGACTGCGTGTCTCTGCGCGTTTGTCTGGTTTTGATGGGTGAAGGTTTCATGAAATGGGTTTGATGCATTGTTTTCCCGGCCGCGAGTTTCTTCTTCTTCTTCTTCTTCTTCTCTGGCTTCTCGTCACAGCTGTAGTTCTCTCAGGAAAAGGCTCAGAGAAGAGGACTTACAAAAAGGGGGACGTCCCCAAACCATCACGGGCTCCCTAGAACTCGCCCTAAGGCCTGTGAGTGGACTCTGGGGCCAGGAAAAGCTCTGGCAGCAGATCTTGTGGTTCTGGGTGTGGTTGGCCTCAGATATCCTGAGCAGTGTCTGCATACCTGAGGGGGGGTTCAGGAAGTGGTTTGTGAGGAATGTGGCTGCTGGCAGACTCTGGGTTCTGGTCTGGCTGTAGACCAGAGATGCATTTTGTGTTTCTGTGGAGGAGAAGCTGAACTCTCACACCTCCTCCTCCTCCTTCCTCCTCCTCCTCCTTCTTCTTCCTCTTCCTCCTCCTCCTTCTCTTCCTTCTTCCTCCTCCTCCTCCTTCTTCTTCCTCTTCCTCCTCCTCCTTCTCTTCCTTCTTCCTCCTCCTCCTCCTTCTTCCTCTTCCTCCTCCTCCTCCTCCTCTTCCTGTTCCTCCTCCAGAGAGAGACAGACAGACAGAGACAGACAGACAGAGAAGGGCAGAGACACAGACACAGGCA